AACAGCTGCTTAAAAAGAAATTAGACTCAGGGCTGGGGATTTAGCTCAGTGGTTCCAGCGCCTGCCTCACAAGCGCAAGGTCCCGAGTTCGATTTCTGATACCAAAACAAAAAAAAAGAAATTAAACTCCATCCTTCTTTACCCCCCCCCCCCATTTCAAAAAACACTTTCAACCATGGAAGGCGAAGTATATACTGTCGCTGTCAGCAACACACACTGGTTGGGCTGCCACTCGACTCCCCCGGTGCCAGGCTGTGAAGCACAATCCAGTCATGGAGGTCACCTTCTAGTCTATAATAAGGAAACAGATGCCACCATGACTAAAGCCAAACACAAACCCACACCTTGTCATCCCTCACTCCCTGCTTTTCAGAAGAAGGGAAAAAGGAAATAAAATGAAAGCATTTCTAATATATATGGACAGCCTTTCTTTTGCTTTTACCAGGCTAGGAAAATAGTCTCAATTATGTCACATTTACAAATAGGGCCTGAGATATGTTATGTTGCAGGCAGTGTAGAAAAGCCTGCATTCTTTAATTTAGAATTAACTTCCTTCCTTCCGGGTTTTTTTTTTTTTTTTTTGAGACAGGATGTAATAAACACAGATAACTAAAACTTATATATGGAAGTGTGTGTTTTATTACAAAATATAGCCAAAGAGCCAGCTATGACAGCTAATTCAATCAAAGATACTAGAAAGGTTCTACACACCTGATTGATCATAAAAGCAGAAAATAAAGAGAAATAAAAGAGACCACATAAATATATATGGATGATATATAAAAAGGTGTTAGTCATTAGTCACTAGGGAAATGCAAATTAAAACTGTAAGATACCAGTACACATCTATGTATATCATGGCTCACATACATTAAATCAGCTAAAAGGCCAAACTTGACAATTGTTGAGAAGAATGCAAAGCAACCAGAACCCTCACAAACTAGTGGTGGGAATCTAAGATTGAACATGTAATGGAAGAACATTTGGCAGTTTCTTTTTTTTTTGGTACCGGGGATCAAACTCGGGTCCTTGCACTTGCAAAGCAGGCGGCGAAACCACTGAGCTAAATCCCTGGCCAATTTGGCAGTTTCTTATCAAGTTAAAAACACATTTCTAATAAGGTCCATAAACCCACTCCTAGTACCTACATACACATACTTACCCTTATTTAGGACTGGCCCATACCAGAAACAACCCAGATGTTCCTCAATAGGTAAATGAATAAAGAAACTGTGGTACATATATAATACATTACTACTTGACAACAGAAAAGTATAAACTAATGATTTAGACAAGTACATTTTTCTATGTGAAGGAAGTCAGATCTATGAAGTAGTATATTGTATGGTTCTATTTATATTAGATTCTGGAAAAGGGTAACAAAAAGGCTGGAAAACACATCAGAGGCTGCCAGGGTGTAGAGGGAGGACAGGGGTGGACTACATAAGACCATGCCAGCACAGGGGAATTTGGAGGTCAGGGGACTGCTGTTAGCAGATGCACGACTTCGCATTTTGCATAACCCACAGGTCTCTACAGCACAGAGTGAATCTTACCATGCACAAATTAAAAGCAAAAAATGACCAGGATGTCCAGGAGACTCAAGATGAAATATAAACCGTGACAAACGTATCTAATCAAGGTAGAAATGAATAACACAGCAGACTGACAGGGAAATGAGAGAAAAAGAAAAAAAACCACTGGACTTTCAAAAAGAACATTTGGCAGGATATATAAGAATAAAGAAGCCAAGTATGGTGGCACATGCCTGTAATCCCAGCACTGGGGAGGCTGAGGCGGGAGAACTGCCATGAGTTTGAGGCCAGCTTGGGCTGTATAGTGAGTTCAAGGGAAGCCTGGACTGCATAGCAAAACCCTGTCTCAAACAAACAAACAAATAAACAAAAATCAAAAACAAAAGAATAAAGGTAAAAAGAAGTATAGATAGGCACTGTACTCTATTTGGTAAACTCATTCTCGCAGGACTGTGTTAGAAGTTCTATAGGTAATGTGAGTATACTGCAGAAAATGAGAGTAAGTGCTCTTCCTGTGGGAGGAACAAGTTACAGATAAGCAAAGGCAGAAAGCCAGAACAGCCTCTGTGGTACCACAATGGAGTTGGAGGCATCAGTATGAGCTAATTTTTTAAATATATCATCAGACAGTAGACAGAAGAAATATAGAAGTGTGTAGTGCAGATCAGTGGACACATGTACACTTCCTAGTTCTGACAGTTAAAGGTGGGAAAGTAGTAACACCTCAGCAGCAGTGAGACTACATGCTACTACTGGATGCTGGTTTGTAAATATTGCTTTGCAGGAAGATGGGAAAAGTGGCTGACACAAGGGCTTGAGCGGGGAATATACAAATGAGTCTTGGAGAGACAGAAACTGCTTTTTAAAAAAGACAACACATGTTGAAAGGACACAGAAGCAAACTTGAATGTGTTTCCAGTGGCTGGAAAAATGTGAGTAACAAATCAGATAACAATAATATTGGTTCTAATCCAGAGAATATTCATGAGTTCACTGTGATATAAATAAGCGATTACATAAATGTGGGGAAGGACTACTATTTCTTATAGAATTATAATTGATGAATGAAGAAGGAATGAGAATAGGAAGAATACCATAGTAATACTGCTGCAGGCAAGACCCACCAGTAAATGCTATAGTGGCTGTAACATTAAGGAGAAACAGTATCTGTGGAGCCTCAGAATGTCTTCTCCTAAGAGAAGAATATTAACTTTACAACGGAAGAATTGGGCAGACACCACTATCATCTAGCATCACCACTACCAGCACATGTAGATGTCATGCAATCCCTGACTGCATGTACTAGAAAAACAAACATGACCTCTGTGGTATTTTTTCCAAAATCTCTCACCTCAACCTAATTATAAGAAAAAAAATAGAGAAATCCTAACTGAGTGACATTCTTCAAAGTAACTAACCAAGGTGTGAAAGTAATGAAAGATAAGGAAAGACTGGAGTTGTCACAGATTGGAAGAAAGCAAGTGAATATTAGATGTAGCAGGTAACTAAATGTCACAGGGGACTCAGGAAAAGGATTAAATGTAACACAGGTAACTAAAGTGTAACTAAATGTAACACAGGACTGGAAAAAAGACATGGTAGAAAAACTAAGTTCGTAGTAACTCAGCATCAATTCTTTAGTTTTGATCATTTTGCCACCTTAATGTAAGATATTATGAAGGGAAGCTGAGTCAAAAGACAAAAACTGCACTATGTTTACAACTTAGGTGTACATCTAAAATTATCTAAAGACAAAAGCTTGTTTTAGGAAAAAACAAGTTTTAAATTTGCTTCCTAAGAACACAAACAAAGAAACCTTACACGTCTATTTAGGCATGACAAACGAGGCTGGTTTTCAAATCAAATGATTTTTTACAAAATGAAGATCACAAAAGCTTACTTTGTTTTCCTTATGGTTCTCCTGGTTTAGCCTCCCAGAGAAAATTCTTTTACTTTGATATAGGTTGGAAGTTCTAATCTATCTGGTACTCTTTAAAATAGGCTGTTTTCTTCAGCCAAGAGATTCTGAAATCTGCAGATGCTGAGTTTCCTATATAAAATGGTGTAGTGTTTGCTTATAACCTACACACATCTATCCTCCTATACACTTTAAATTGTCTCTAGATTACTTGTGATACCTACTACAGTGTAAATGCTGTCAAGAGTTATACTGTATCGTTTGGAGAATAACCACAAGAAAATTAAGTTTGTACAAAGTTTTTGCGAATGTTGTTGGTTCAAGGTTGGTTTAATCTGCCAATGCATAATTCAAGGATTCAGAGAAATAAGTGGTTAAATTTACATCTCAGAGAGAAACATAATAGCAACTTTAACCACTAAATGTAGTCTGGTATTACAATGTTCTCATTTAAAACTTCACATACTGCCCGGGGATTTGGCTCAGTGGTGCCACTGCCTGCCTCACAAGCACAAGGTTCCGTGTTCGATCCCTGGTACCAAAAAAAAAAAAAAATTCACATACTGTTATCTGCTTATTTTACTAAGACAGATATGAAGAACACATAATAATTACTGTTTAAATTTAGTAGGAAAGATGAAATACAATTAATTTGTGGGAAAATTTTTTAAGAACAGGGACAAGACACCTTTTTATCACATAAATTTTTATTTTAAAAATCTAAGCCAAGTGGAGAGTTCTATTTAGTAATGAACACTTAACACATAACAGCTCACAACACTAAGTTTTATTTTTAAAGTCAATTATTTCTGAAACCTAACACCTCCTTCCTCTAAGAAGTAATATACATCTTTCACTTTGGGATGTTAAGCTTGGTATAGGTACATAAACATTTATATTTGAATTTCTAATTAGTTTTATATGACAACTCCTACTGACAACTAAAATCAGCTATCAATTCACGTACTATAATTACACAGCAGAGGAGGCACCCTGACTCAGACTCCTAGGAAAAGAGTAAGCAAACTTCTAAAGGGCCAGATTTTAGGCTTGAGAGCCATACAGGTACTGTTGCAATTAATGACCCCTGCCACTATAGTGCTAAGGAAATGCACTTGATAAGTAATGATTGGTTGTGGTAAATACAACTTTATTTACCTACATAGGTAAATAAATAAATAAACAGCCACAGTTTTCTAACTTCACTTTGGGCAAATAGTTTTGATTTTTTTTTTTTTTTGGTACCGGGGATTGAACTTGGGACCTTGCGCTTGAGAGGCAGGCGCTGGAACCACTGAGCTAAATCCCCGGCCCCAGATTTGATTTTTTTAATATACAACCTCTTCAGTGAATTGTGTTCCCTTGCATCTGACAGTTTATAAAAGAAACATTAGCTATTTAAACAGTAAAGGAACCATGAACAAACATATTTTCTTAGGTCAGAATCTCCAGTTAGACTGAGAAATTAAAATGTATTAATAAAGCACACATCAAAATATAAGTCTGAAAATGTAAGAATATGATTATATTTTATTCAATAATCTTACCTTAATCAAATGAAAGAATCTAAAGCCTAGCACATTTCTGGCTTCAATTCAAAATATATTTGAACCAAAACTTCGGTTTCTTGTTAAATTCCTAGAGAAACAAAATTAAAAACTTTTCAGTCAAGATCCAGTTGCAAATAAAATGGAGTAATCACACTTCAATGTGTCTCTTAAGTGAATGTAGCTAGCAGGCCTGCAGCAGCTACTGCAGAACTCTGAAAAGGAAGTAGCAGGTAGGCTGAAGGAAGCCCAGAACCTGAAACACCACCTAAGCAACGATGAGTTGACATTCTGCTCCCTTTTGGTGTCACCCTCTGCCCAGAATCTCATACAGCTCACATGAAAAGCCTGAGGAGAAGCACTCTCTCCTTGTGACTGGAGGAGAGGGAAACGGGTCTTCTAGTACTCACAAGAGTGTGGAAATCTCCTACCTTTTCCCTCCATTCTCAGCTAGGCACTGGTGGCAGCCACAGTAGTGGGGGCCATCTGGAGCCCAAAACTCTGAGGGAGGAGAACTTTCCTTTTTGGTCAGAGGAGTTATGGTCCCAAAAAGATACAGCGAATCTCTACTGCTTTTTTCTCTCTTTGTCCTCTGGCCACTTGGCCCAGGAGACAGGCGTAGCTGCACATGTGCATCTTATAGAGGGACAAATAAAGTCCTACCCTTCTGATCAGAGAATGGAATAGGGGAGCCCCAGTGAATCAGAGACAACTGGGAGATCACATACAGGAGCTTGGAGAACAATACCTCAAACACCTCAAAGTTGTTCTTTAACAACTAAGCATCCACAAGCTGTGAGAACTGAACTATGGGACAGACAACCTCCCAAGTTCCATTCTGGTGATGGATGGTGCATACAGAAGACAGAGCCAAACTACACAGCAAAAGCTTTGAAAACTCAACCGATGATGTAGTCAAAACCCACAGGACTTCCAATTTGAACATAACTGGCTGACTGCCTACTAAAATAAATATGAGAATATTCTATGTTGGATTTAAATGACATCCAAAGTCTCACAATATGGAGTCAAACACTCAGGACATAATCCAAAATTGCTAGGTATGCAAGAAACAGGAAAATCTCAACTCGCATAGGAAAAATGCCAACACAAAGAAAAACAGATACTAGAAAATACCTGAAATGATATCAAAGTAATACAGAATGCTTCAACAAGTAAGAGCAAAAAACCCTTCAAACAAATGAAAAGATAGGAAGGCTCAGAAAAGAAATGGAAGACATAAAGAAGAACCAAGAAAATTTGGAAGTGGAAAAATATCAACAACCAAAATAAAAGCTCATTAAAAATGAGCTCAATAATATAATAGAGATGACTGAAGAAAAAACTCAGTGAATTTCCTATATGTGACTAGAAATTATCCAATGTGAAGAGAGAAAAAATTAGGGAAAAATAAAGAAATTAATTTATTTGTCATACTCAAATATCAGCAAGAAAAAAGGGTTCAGTGTAAACTAAAAAAATTTTTTTAAATTTCCCAAATTTACTGAAACAATCAGGAGGCATCTTGCTCGCCTCCTGTACTTCATGACTTCCCTCCCTTCGTGCCCTGATTTACCCTGCTAAAATAGCCCAGAATGCAAGAAAACGTTCCTTGTACTGTTTATTGTAGTCCTAGCTGACGTGGTCCTAGGAACAGCAAGCTTGCATGTCCCTGTTCCCACCAGCCTCATCAGTCAGCTAGTCTCAGAATGTATTAGGTACAACAAATTACCAAGGACACCTTGCCCCATCTCCTTGTTTGTACTTCACCTCCTCATGCCTTAAATAAAGTGACACGCAGGCCAAAGTGGTCTTCTCCGGTCAGGAGGTGGGGAGGCCCCACCTGGTCCTGCTTTAATTCTCTTTTGTTTTCTGCATCTTCTGTGGCCCTACTCAGACCCTGGACCCTTGCCATGCAGGCCATGCCACCCCAAATAGGATAAACACAAAGAAATACATAGTCAGACATATCTTAATTAAATTTTAAACATCTAATTGAACAAAAGAGGAAAAAAAATCCTGAGTGCAACTAGAAAAATTTAGTCATTACTTTTAGGGAAACAGAGTTTATATGATTATGGGTTTATTTTCAGAAACCATGAAGGCCAAGAGAAGTGAAAACGTTTTAAATGCTAAGAAAAGAACTGTTAACTCCGATTTCTATATTTAGCAAAAATGTTGAGATAAAGGTGAAATAAAGACACTTTCAGATGAAGAAAACTAAGAATGACATCGAATCACTTGAAAAAAACTGCTAAAGGAAATTCCTAAAAAAGAATTTGATAACAGAAGAAAAAACTGAAATATTAGGAATGAAGGAAGAGCAGCAGAATGTTAAATATCTCAGCAAACATATCAGATTTTTCTTAACTCCCCGAGTTCTTTAACTTTTGTTTGATTGCTAAAGGCAAAGAGTGTCACATCTGATGGGCTTTCAATGTATAAATACTAATACACGCATGTCATACATTTGACTCACAGTATCCATGGATTCTACAGTGGCAGATTCAACCCACTAAGTATTGAATGCAGCTAAAGCTGTATTCAGAGGATAATTCATAGTATTAAAATTATTTACATGAGAAAAAAGAAATTCTAAAATTAGTTATCTATACCTCCATCTTAAGAAACTAGAAAAACAGGAGAAGAGTAAACACAAAGCAAGCAGAAGAATGAAATAATAAAGAGCAGAAATCAAAGAAATTAAAAAGAATGAATTCAGAAAATAAAGCAAAACCAATCAGATAAATATAAACAATACTTGTCTTCTTTGCAAGGCTGTCAAAGACAACAAGGGAGAAGACACAAATTCTCTGTATTGGTACAGAGAATTTAGAATGAATTAAAATTCATTCTAAACCCCACAAACATTTAAAGGGAAGAAAGGATGTATGGTGAACAACTCCATGCACATATAGCCAACAGCTGAAATTAAATGGATCAACTCCCTGAAGCCACAAAGTGCCAATATTCATTCAGGGGAGAAGTTGCATAGTTCTCTATCAAATATAGTGAAGCCACAGATAAAACCTAAAAAAAAAAAGAAAAGAGTTCTATAGGTCCAGATGGTTTTACTAATGAAATACATATATAGTAACACCAAACTGACAAGATTGGTAAGGGGAAAAAAAAATCACTATTTGTAAATAATATGATTATTTATAAAGCTAATTTCAAGAAATACAAATACACAGACACAAAAAACCCTCTTGGAACTAATAAGTTTCATAAGGTCAATGAAAACAAAGGCAACATCAATCACATTTCTAAATACTGGTAATTTGGAACCACATTTTTTTTTTTTAATTTTTAAATCATACCATTGAAAATAGCTCTATAAAAATGAAATACTTAGAGACAAATCTGAAAAAACATATACAGGATCTATATGGTAAAAAACACCCTCAAAACTACAAAATCTTGATGAACTAAGTCAGAGGAGATCTAAATATGAGATCTGTATTCACATATTGGAAAATTCAACATGGGTAATAAAAGATACTAATTCTTCCCAGACTACGGATGCAATGCAATTCCAATCAAAACCCCAGGACTTATTTGTAGTTATAGGCAAGCTGACTCTAAAGTTAATATGGAAAGACAAAAGAACTAGAGTAGTCAAAATTATTTTTAGAAAAATAAAACTGGAGGAATTACACTATCTAATTTTAAGGCTTTAAGCTGCTTATCAAGACAGTGCTTGGTACCAGTGAAAGTACAGACACACAAATCAATGGGATGGAACAGCATACACAGACAGCCCCGTAAATGTGGCCAGCTGAGTTCTGACATAGGGACAAACGCAACACAAGGAGGAGAGGACAGTCGTGTCAACAGAGGTGTTGGAACTAATGAGCATCTGTATGCTTGGAAAAAAAATGAAACGTGACCTGAACCTCTCACCTTATACAAAAAATTAACTCAAAGTAGACCATAAACCTAAATGTAAAAAATAAAGCTATAAAGCTTTTACAAAAACAAAGGACAAAAGTTTTGTGACTTGAAACTATGCAAAGAGTTACTGTGCTACTACAACAGAATCCATTAACTAAAAAGTAATAAATTGGATTTTATTTGTTCAACATTCAAAGTAAAAACAAAAAAAGTATGGATATGCTTTCACAACATCATAAAGTGGAAAAATCATTAAAGTCAAGCCATCATCAACTGGGGGATATTTGTATGGATTATAAAGAACGTAAAAAATTTTATGTATATAAAATATATTTTAATATTTTAAATATATATTTATATATATGCTTCCTCCCACAAGAATATATCCCACCTATAACATGAAACTTAATCTTTCTACCTCTTTGAGTGTGAACTAAAATTAGCAATTTACTTCCAAATTACAGAACCAAACAGCAACTCATTTCCAAAGGATGGTAAAAGAAAAACGACTAAGTCGCAGTGGAGAAACCAGGAAATACTACCTTACCCAAGTAATGATGTCCTCACATATTCCCTGAAAAGATGTGAGGAAAAGGATACTTCATTTTGACCTTATTCTCTAAAATCCATGACCTCCATCTAACCACAAGGAAAAATATCAGACAATGCAAATTGAGAGACATTTTACAGAATACCTTATTAGTACTCAAAATTATCAAGGTGATGAAAAACAAGGAAAGGCTGAGAAAGTGCCACAGACTACAGCACAGTAAAGAGATATGCAGTGCTGAATCCTGGACTGGATCCTGGAATAGAGGAAACTAGTGAGAAGTCTGGAGCAATTTCGGTGACCATTCTATAAATCTAAAATCATTTCAAAATTAAAAGTTTGTTATTTTTTAAAAAAATGGGCCAAAGACCTGAACAAACCCATCACCAAAAAAGAATATACTGTATGTATGACAAAAAAGCACAAAATAAGATGTTTACCTATTTGTAAAATACAAGTTAGAAGCATTATCAGATATAACTAAAAATTAGTATGGCAAAAATTAAGAAGACTGACCATACCAAATGCCACCAAGAACACAGAACAATTAGCACACTCATATATTGCTGACGGTGGTACAAAATGGTATAGCCATTTCAGAAAATGGCTTGGCATCTCTTATAAAGTTAAATATACACTTATTACAT